TGTCTCGTGTATAAACATGCCCTATATATTATGCGGTTTGATCCGAGTTGCGAAAACAAACTTTAACAATGTTAACTCCGTAGCCTCCGTAGTTAAGGTGGCTTCGGTGGCGTAGTCGTCAGAGCAAGCGCCTTTCACCTCCGAGATCGTGGGTTCGATTCTCGCTACTGACTCATGTGAAAAGAGTCCGTCAACGCTCTGCCGAAAATCGTGGATTTTCTCCGGGCACTCCAGTTTTCCCACAGGGAAAGTTGACAGGGTGGGTTAGCATAAACACAGTTGAGAATGTAATCACAGTTGTTGTAAAGATAAATAGTCTAGGCTAAGTAAGTAGCATGAGTAAGCGTAATACTTGATTTAATCTGTCACTGAAAAGCCCCGAAGGGGAGTGAGCTGAATAATAATGTAATGTAACGTAATGTAATGTAATGTAGCTAGTACGTGAGACCATGATGAAAACCTAAATATGAAATACGAACAAAAATAGTCAGTCATAATTCTAGTCTTTTCCAGTGATGAATGTGGTAGTCGTTGCAATTCATGCATGTCAGGAATTTGTTAATAACCCAAAAGCCAGCAGGTTGACATTTAATTTGATGAAACTATGCAGAGACACGTACCCGCAACGAAGTTAGAAAATATGACATGTTATGTGCTGTGAGATGTGACTCTTTCCAAAAGGTACTTTTGAAGTTGGTAAGCATTATTGAAATACTGACTGTGATTTTAACCTGTCGAAATATACAACAGTTCTTTATGGTGACATAGACTATTAATAATTCTCTTTGTTTGATCCTGACTCCAATCGGCAGCTAAGCAAAACGAGATCCGCGAGACTGTTGGAAATACAAACCATAAGCTTGGTTTCCATATGGTCGTAAGGATCGTGAAGATTGAGTCACGATCTTTCTCATCAGCCGAAATGCAACATTTGGAACTGAAAATATACGCGGAGTGATTGTAACTAGAGAAAAATATACTTATGATTTATATGTGGTTTACAGGTACAAACTATTATAAACTGGCTGTTGAGAAAGATCGTGACTCTATTTTTACGAGCATTATGTAAGAGTTAGATACCGAAAACGGAGGCTCTTAGTCAGATACAAACCCGAGGGGCCGTAGGCCCCGAGGGATTTATCTGACTAAGAGCCTCCGTTTTCGGTATCTAACTAACTTTAGTTCATATTTGTGCGGATATCTATTGTTTTCAATAGGGTTTTATTTGGGTAAGAAACTAAAAGCGAGAGGTGGGATTTGATATCTCCACAAGGAAAAGCGGGTTGATAATAGAATTGAATGCCTAATTAAAAATGCAAGGTATCTAACTCCATAGTGACCACTTTTAGAGGTCACTATGGAGTTAGATACCTTGAATTTGTAACAACACTCAAACCCCCAACATCTCCTTTTCGACTAGAAAACGCTGCACGTCTCTGAGTCGAGAAAGAGACAACAGCCGTGTACCTCAGAGCCCGTCAAACTCTACCTTTGGGTAAAGTATTTATCATTCGGTGCACGAGGACTAGCTGAACCAACCATCAAACTTGCTTGTGCAAGCAATTTATACAGTAATGTCTGCTCTTTCGCTTGTGGGACGCGAAATGATATACTACGCATGCTCAACCAAATTAAAGCGTGTTTAATGCGCATGTTCAACCTTATTTCGTCCCACAACCACAACCTCCCGAGGACAATAGAAAATGGAAATAAACAACATAAAAACCTCATGCATGGTCGGTCTTTCATTGAAATTCAAGAAAGACCTCCCAATGAAAGACCTCCCATTCGGTTTTATCCTACATATAAAACCCTGTTGAGAACAACTTCAGAATCTCTGCTTCGACAAACCCGTACAAATCTTCGTTAGCGCTTCTCGGTTGTATGAGCTATTTCAAACATATTTCATCGGAATTGTTGTTGGTGAACGAATATTTAATCACTTCTCATTGATAGTATACAGTAATGCGACATGAGAATTGATGCATATCAAATGCGAAAGCTCTATTTTTTTTACAACCATGGTAATTCAAACTCATTTAAAGAACAATACATATCATAAAGTAAATATCATTGTGGGTCAATCCTTATAAATATGAACTAGACCATGTAGAAACCAGGCTATAGATATCCGTGAGGGTGTGTTAATGTATATTGTTGGAACCGACGTGAGGTCTAATGGCATTATGGCAACCATATTTCATCGGTCTGTAGTGTTGACATGACAAGTCATTACATTCCGTATATGCACAAAAAAACGAAATTTCCTTCTTTCATCTGCTAGAATGTTGTACCAAAACGCTTCTACAGTACTATTGAGTCTATGCTATAATTTCCTTGCCTCGTTCGGACGGTCATTGGCATTGTAACTATATAACTTGTCTATAAGACATAAAAGTTATATAACTCGGCCAATTGAAATTCATGTGATGTAATATCTCGCATCTGAACATAGACAACAGACAACGCATAAGTCGGTTATCCATTCTCAAAGATTAAAATCTCAATCCAAACTTAAACCAGATTTTTCGATTTGTTTTGCAATCTTTACCAAACTGTAATTTGCTAGCATGCATGTTTTTCCCTGAAAGTGAAAGTGAAAGTGAAAGTGAGAATTTGTTAGCCGTTCTTAGAGTGAAAAGCAATGAGGCTTACTAACACCGGTCAATCTTTCTATCAGAATGAAGGAAATAATTTTTCAGTCAATTTTTTCTGGGGATGATATTTAGATAGCAAATATACTTTATTTAATTAAAGAGGGGGAAACAATATTTACATGTTACGACTAAGGTATATTCTTCCCCATGTCCCTCGTATAAAGACACTATATATAAGTAACTATATATGTGTGTACATGTTTTATGACTTCTTATGAAAGCATTGACAAAGCATGCACAACATGTTTGCATATATATATAGCGCAGGAAAATTCATTCACATGAACTTAATTTGTGGCTCAACTTATTGTAAAAGATGAAATAAAATAAATGATTTATTTCACTAGGTAAGGATTGCATCGAAAAGACTTGCATCACTACATAGGCCCTATATACGATATCTTAGGATGTCATTTTTAACTGCATATAAAAAAATTTATATATAAGTATATAAAAATATATATTAAAAGATCAAACACAACAACCAATCATTCTGTAGTCTGTAGTATGAGAAATTTATTCAATGATTTTTATCGACTTGCACAATAATTCTTGAACGCTTTATTCATTAGGCGTATACTCATTAATTAACAATTATTGAATGAGGTTGAGCACGATATGAAGAATTATCAAGCGCGAAGTTTGCTGTTATCAACCGAAGGCTGAGGTTGATAACGGCAAACTATAAGAGCTTGATAATTCTTCATATTGTGCGAAAACCGAATTCAACAATTGTTTTATTATTTATTTAAAAAATTCAAAACAAACATTTGTATTTTATTTGTATTAAGAAAAAAAAATTCCTTACTCCTTCGGCAGCCGTCGTTGCGTCATATCAATGGCGTCAGCAAGTCGATATGATTCTCGTCGTCATAGTAATATGTCGCAAACGCGCCCAAATTTTTTCATAATGACTCTTTGACGTCATTTTGCTAATATGAATGTGAAAAATCCGTATTTGGTTAGACATTGAGTTGATATGACAATTTCACAGTTGGCTGTTAGCCAATCAGAAATCAGGAATTTTTTAAATAAATAATAATTTGGCGTCATGCAGATATGAGAATTTTTCACACGGCCGCAAAACAATTAATGCTCTCTGAGTCTGTAAGGAACTGCAATATACGTAATTGTGCGTTAAACTTAATAAATATATTGAAATTTCATAGCCAAGTATAGCGCGGCCATTCACTGATATCATAGATAAAACTATAAAAAACAGGCTAGGACGACGGACGGCAGAGCATTTTATAACACATGCATGATTACTACCGCAACAAATTATAATACCTTAAATTAAAGTATACCGGCCTTACTTATGTAAAATGAATATGGTTTTCACCCGTTCGAATTCTTAGCAATGAAATTTTTAATCAGCATTCAATACGTACGTAGGCCTAATGGCCTATGTATGATATGCTATACGCCGCCTTTCTCGGGAAACTTTTGGAAATACCACATGCGAGTTACATACAAGTACAAACGGGTCGAGTAACAATCGAGTACATACGGGTAGTAAACTCGATCGTTTTAAGTGTTTGTACATTGATGCAATATAGACAAGAACTATCGTATTCTTGGTCGACAAACTATTTTTTTACGTCTTTGCGATATTCTCTGCCCTCGATTTTTCGCCATCGAATTTTTCATTCTTTTTATTATCAGCTTTATTGGACATAAAGAATTATTGGGCTCATGTAAAAAGTTTTAAAATTGAACTTTGGAACTTCATGGTTGACACGCATGCGTATTGCACCCATTTTATTATTGACAGGTCAATAAATGTTTCTTTGCGGACCGGTTGCCGAACATGACGTTTTGTGGACCGGCACGTGACACGGTTTTGACCAATCGGCAAACAGAAAAATTGAACTTTGACACTAACTATATATAACAATATATAATATTTCTAAAATCCATATGTATGATAGTCGTCGCAAATGCAAATTGACCATTGCTATAGGTGCATGTGAACCTCTTAGGTTTATAAGTAAAATGGTGATTATTTTCATTATAAAACAAGAAGTCGGCACTTTTTAAAGTACGAAAATGTCTGCAAGTGAATGTCGTTCAATAGCCCTGCCTAACAGAAGCTGCAAAACTAAGTCTATAAAGCTTTCAGTTTACTATACATTTCCAAAACTTTCCCGGGAAACTCATACATGTGAAAACATATTCATTTTACAGCTGTAAGGGTGGTATACGCTAAATTGGAGTATTATAATTTTAGTTGCGGTAGTATAATCATGTGTTTATGAAAAGAGAGAGAGAGACACACACACACACACACACATACACACACACAAAACTTAGCAAGCTTTGTTTGGCATATTTATTACTATAAAGTTTCGTACCACGTAAATAACGTGGCACTCTTCAGATAAAATAGCCTATGTTTGTTTATCTGAAGAGTGCCACGTTATTTACGTGGTACGAAACTGTATAGTAATAAATATGCCAAACAAAGCTTGCTAAGTTTTTGTGTCTTTCTATTATG